CGGTACTCGTAGTTCGCCGGGAGGAACCGCGGCTCGGAGCTGTTCGCACAGCTGAGCCCAGGATGTGAAACATTCAGGGGATGTCGCTTCCCGAGTGTACACCCAACTCTTAGCACGACCGCTAAGGTTGGAGAGTGCAAAAGCAACACGCAGTTGCTCGGTCGAGATCAGAGCCGCGTCCATCGCGAGCTCTACTTCTCGGACCCAGAAGTGAAGGTTCTCGCCTTCCTTCCCTTCATACGGCTTTACCTTCAGCCGTATTGGCTTCGGGTGAGGCGGGTTTGCTCCCGCCGCCGGAGCCTGCAGGTTCTCCCGCACATGCGCGATGAGGCCCTGCTCGTACGCGTCGAATGCATTGACGCGCTCGAGCTGCTCAGCCGGTGTTGATACCACCAGGCTCTGCAGGGCCTCCATCCCGAAGATGCCTGCCATCTTCCGAACCGACTCGAACTGAGAGTCGTTCATATGGGAGAAGTCGTTCCTATCCATGGCAACGAACTTCGGAGGTTCAGGTAGTCTACCCGCGATGGCGTGGATTGACTACAAGTGCTACCAAGTGTGACGGGGTCACACAGCACCTTGCGCTAGAGGAAGTTATCTTCCGAGAGTATACAAACTCTCAGTGAACGGCAGTTCACAGGTCCCCTCTTTAATTAAAGAGAGCGAAGTGACCTAAATAAAGTAGATTGTAAACTGAGTATATTTATAGGTAGGTTAAGTTTGAGGTTAATACAAACTATCAGTTACCTATAGTAATGCAATGTCATTTAACCAATGGTTGGTTTTGAATGACCTTGGTACCTTGTACCAAATATCCCGGAGTATGACATGTCATACTCCTGAAGTGTGAAGTGTCACACTTCATGTAACCAGGGTACACTTAGTGCTACGTACCCCGTTACACTAGTGGTGATTGTTGTTGTTAAGGGTAAAATGGGAACTGATGTATTGGAGTAGCTTAAGCACGGCCTCTGCTATCTGCTGCGCAAGCTCCTTAAAGCTTGTGACTTGACTGGAGAGCGTTCACTAGCTCTTGCTAGCCAACCATGCAGTGGTTACAGTCGTTCCACTTTGGCGCGCGTCACAGATGCGCGCGTCGCAGGTCGTTCTGCTGACAGTCTTCCCCACGTTGGGACTTGAAGGGCACAATGCGTCGTATGTGGACGGTCTCCATGTACTTGCCCTTGTCAAGGACCAACGTACCATTCGTTCGCACTGCTACAACTTCGTAAGGGCCACTGAAGAGCGGTGACATCTTGGCTTGAGGTCCCGCATCGTTTCGCAGCAGCACCTTGTCTCCTGGGGCGTAGATCCACTCGCGTCGCTTGTCGTTTTCGCGCTTGTTGTTCTTGGCGACTTGAGCAACCTTGCGCTGGTACTGTTCATCCCAGTTCGTCGTATGCTTCACGTCGAAAAGCATGTCTCGCCCGAAACTGGCCTGGGCCGGAGACGACTTGAGCATTGAGTTGTACGTTGCGCGAAGGGCAAAGGTGGCGTCGTGTAAGAATGCAGCCCACTCCTCCTTGGTGTCGATCGTTTGCGTTCGAAGCTTGTCTCCAATGACACGGTGCAGCCGTTCAATCACGCCGTTCGACTGAGGGTTTCGAGTCGTAGTGGGTAGCGCATGGATGCCATAGCTCTCTAGTAGCTCGAAGAACTCTTTCTTGAACTCGGTGCCTTGGTCGTAGATGACCCGCACAGGCCGTGGGTATCGGCACAACCAAAACCGATCAAAGACGAAAGCCGCGTCGTCACTTGACGCATCATCCACTGGCTGGATCTCCACTAGCCGCGTGCTTGTATCGATCATGGTCATCGCTCAAAACTTTCTCTTTCCGTAGGGACCTATAGAGTCGATTGCAACCTCAAACCACGGTCTCACTGTTACCGTCTTTGCCGGCAATTTGCCGTACTTCACGGTTGGGTGCTTGCTCTTAGTGCAGGGCAGGCAGTTCAGAACGAACTGCAGAATCTTAGACTCCATACCCTTCCAATACAGCGATGTCTTGATTGTTTCGTACATTGCTGCACCGCCTGGATGCAGAAGCCACTCGTGATAGGCTCTGACAATGGGCTCTTGTAGGTGATCCGGTACTATGATGCAATTGTTCCTCGCGTCCACCTTGAGCTCGACGCCATTAATCTCTTTCACGTTTCCGCTAGAAATCGCAGCACTCTCTTGTGCTCGTGCGAGTTGTTGGAGGTTTAACGAGAACACTCCCGAGTCTTCACTCGTAGCTGCAAGTGTAGTTGCATCTTCCGTGTCCTTCCCCAGTTCGGCACCCGGTAGGCGCGATAACGCGTCCGCCACGACATTGTTCTCTCCCTTGATATAGTGCAGCCGGGGTCCGAACTCTTCAATCTCGAGCCGCCAGCGCATCATCTGGATGTTGTTGAACGTCCCGTATGTGAGGTTCAGGTGATCGGTATGGACGTGCAGCTCCTGGCCGAGTAGCATGGTGCGGTACTCACGTAGTACCATGAGAATACTCAGCAGCTCGAGACGGTTGGCGGGGTATTTGCGCTGCGTATCGGTGCACTTCTTACTCCAGAAGGCGAGCGGACGACCATGCTGGGCGATAACGGCACCGAGCTGGTATCCGGACGCATCCGTGTGGATGTGGAATGGTTCGCCGTACGCCGGAAATGAAAGCTCCACAGTGTGCGCCATCACGAACTTCATCTGCTCGAATGCTTGTTGGTGAGTCTGATCCCAACGAAAGTTGTGCTGCGGCGACATCAACGCCGTGAGCGGAGCCAGGATGTGAGCACGTCTTGGCCACATGTCCCGATAGTAATTCACCATACCGATGAATCGACGTAGCTGACGCCGTGTGCGCGGGGCTTCTATCGCCTGTATGGCCGACACCTTGTCATGAAGTGGCTTCATCCCGCTTGTGCTAATGTGGTAGCTCAGGTACGACACGCTATCCGTGCACAACTTAGACTTACGAGGGTGAATAGTGAGTCCATTGTCACGAAGACGCTGAAAGACGATGCGAAGATGCCGTAGGTGCTCCTCAAATGACGTCGACATCACAATGAAATCGTCCAGATACACCCATACGAACTCCAGGTCTCCGAACGTCCCGCTCATAACCGCTTGGAATTCATCAGGGGCAGTAGCGACGCCCATTGGCAGCCGGTTGAACACAAACTTGCCGAACGGAAACACGATAGCGGTGGCAGCTCGACTGCTCTTCGAGAGAACGCGAGCATAGTATCCCATCGGTATATCAAAAACCGATATAAACTTGCACTGCTGGAACTGGCGAAGCAGCTCTGGAATGACCGGCAGTGGGAAAAACCTGCGCTGCAGCAGCGCATTCAGCCGTCGAAAGTCGCAAAGTAGTCGGATGGTGCCGTCTTTCTTCAAAATCGTAAACGCTGGCGATGCCCATGGGGAGCTGTTGTCGGCTGTCATTACTTCAAGGCGCACAAGCCGCTGCACCTCTTGCTTAGTTGCTGCC